TGGAAGATGGGTGGGGAGAGGACTGCATGTGGAGACTTTCAAAAACTAGGGGGGATCAAATGTGATTGGAGGGGGGGGGGTACAGGTTTTAAATGTGCTGAAGCATTGAGACATTTTCATTTGGGAGAAAGATGATAGCCTATGTAGGAGACTTCAAGATTTATGGATTATCCTTGCCTGAAAGGCTGATTCTCAAATTGATGCATGAGATGAAAATGTTTTATATCATTGACTGATGCCAAAGAAAGTTTCTATAGTTGGATGACAAGATGAAGGCTATAGCTCATCTTGATATGCCTGCTTCAAATAATAATTAGCAATTTTTATAGCTGAGATGGTTTCCACTTACTGAGAGACAACCAAAAATGTTGTTCACTGGCCATTGTACTGTTTGCTCATCCTTGGATCTGCACTTACAGTGAGCATAACATCATTATACATTCAGCATAAGTTAGAGAACTTCATTTCTCATATCTGTATGTGCTCATCCCGTGCTTGCAAACTGGAGATACACAAGTTCTTACTAGAACTTTTGAATAGAGCAGTTTGAGTACTACCACAAACTGGCCACTTTGTGTCAAGAACATTCAATGCCTTGGTAACATAAAACAGAGCTGGAAATGCTCCTAGGTTTCCCATGTTTTCCAAATTGTTTTCATTATAGGCTTGATATGCACAGTTCACTGTGCTTTGAAAACCTGCATGCTTCTGTGGCTCTATTCCCAGGGCTTTGTAAAAAAGATGATTTAATTCACATTGTGTTTTTCTGTCAAAAACCACCATGGTGGTAGCAATTTTGGATTTGAACTGTTGTGGCACAGTCCATTGCCATATTTTGTATCACAGTTGTCAGCATGAGGCACTCATGCAGATGCAACAAAGTCAACATGTTTTGCCTTGCGGCATCATGTACGCCAGCTGGATTTGTATCATTAAATCAATGTAAAGTGTAATTTGTTACTGATTATGTGAGTTGACGGGGACATTTAAAAACTTTTGGCTGTTCTATGCTCATGCCTATGCTTGTTACATATTACAGGCTTACTGAACATGGTTGTAAGAAAACTAGAAAGAAGACATGCAATTGGCACAGGGAAAATATTGTCACCACAGGAGCTGTCAAATTGTGATGACATTGCAACAGCTCTGACAATTGACCCATATCTTGGCTTCATCACACACAAAATGTGTATCAGGTAAGTCACTGTTTTTTTCTGGTATCCACATCACCTGGCTTTTCTGTAATGTACTCTTAAAGTACATTACAGAAAAGCCAGGTGATGTGGATACTTTCTGTAATGTCCTCTTTCCCAAAAAATGATGTTTACCATGTGTATTATCAAAATGACAAAAAAGACAAAATGTCTGAAAAATGGGATGGAATAATGAATGATGATTTCTAATCCACTTGTTAAAAGTGTGGGTTTTTACAGTTGTGAGAGTGAGTGAAAGAACCAACATGTGGCCCCATAGTGTGCTTGCACTGTTTGTTTTCACTAAGTGATTATTGGATAGGAAGGTCATTCTGATGTGTACTTGTGTGTGTTGCTACATGTACTAATAAAACCAGTTTCAGTGCAAAATTGTTTTCATCATATTTTCTTTGAGCCCTCTGGTTAAAAGGACTGTTCCACATTTGTATAAGGTTTTGAACTGAAATAGCCATCTTGGAGGTCATTCAGTGCAGTTCACAGCCATGCCCTTCTTAAGACCTAAACCATTCTAGTCTCTGAGCTACACACCCACAAAGATGTGCAAACTACTTGTGGGAGATTATTCAAAGATACCCAGGTATACATGATCCCATATACCATCATTTAAATCCTGTCATAACATAGCCACACAATAATTAAGACCAAGTAAAATATAATTGATAAAGTTGTTCATATTTGGTGCTCATAAGCATCATTTCCAGATATGATGGCCATCACTTGGCTCTCAGTGTTGTGCGAGCAAGGTATGATGACATGGGGAGCATATTCCCTAGACAGACAAATTTTGTTGTTTTCAGGAGCCTTTTCCACTTTTAAGAGTACTTGTAGTTAAAAGTGAGTTAACTTCGTCATATCTGATACTTGCTTCAACATCTTAAATTTAATTCCCACCACAATTTGGTATTACCGGCGTAGGCCTCGCACTTCCTGAAAATGTCAGTCAACTAAATTAGCATGTAAGCTATAACATATTAGGAGAAATAGTTACAACAAATAGGTATGAATACATCTAGCATCCTTAAGACACCTCAGCATACCAAATAGTGGCAGTGTAGTGTTTCCTTCACCCCTGCTACTTACCCAGTTTGCATCAACTGGCGAATAAATTTGCGGTGCTGCTGCCAGCTGCTAATTCAAATATATTTAAGGTTGCTTCAGACTTTCAGCGGATTGTTCGGTGACGTCACCAAACCACAAAATCGCTTGTCAGCTGGTGTTAGTTTCCTGAACGAAACGATCGTTTTAGAGTATTAAAGAGAATGTTTAACATTCAAACGTGTTGAATCAAGTGCCAGATATGGTGAAATAAGTTTATTTATCACCATGGTAAAGTGGGAAAGACTGGTCCGTCGTCAGTATGACAACGTGATCCATGAGGTTCAATCGAGCCATGATTATCCAGAGCCTCATCCCGCAGTCGGCGCGCTCCTAAACTCTAGTAACCAACAGAGGCTCATCAATACCGAAAGATGCCCACTGGACTCGGTTGTAGCTACGGTGCGCGTCTACAATGACGCCAAAGGGGATTGGATGGAACTAGACCAGACCGCATGGGATCAGACAGGATCGAGAGGGACCAGACCGAGTCGAGCCGGGCGGAATCGGAAGGGAATGGTCTGGTCCCGTTCTTTCTCGTCCCGCCCTGTTGCGTCCCGTGCGGTTCTTTTAGCTCACATCCGGTGCCGTCCGATTCCGCAAAATCCCGTCTGGTCCCGTCTGGTCCCATGAAGTCTCGTCTGGTCCCATTCAGAACCGTCCAATGCCATCTGATCTCGCTGGGCTCCGTCTGACCCCGCCCGGTCCAGGCCATGGGCCCGATCTCCACAGCACGTGACTCAGTCGTAGCTTGTCGTGCGCTCGCTGTGGTTCGCACGCATGACGAAAGGCGCCTAGTTTTCGTAACGGACTTATCTGGCTTAGACGCACACCGCTACTGCAGCTGGGTCTAATAGTTCATCATTCGGTGACCATTTGGCCATGGAGAATCGTGGCACGTAGGAAAAATGGGTCTGACGTATGTAGATGGTTAAAACTAGAACTGTTTCATTGGGAGAACTAACCCAGTTGAAGTGAGTTTGTGTTTTTCTGACGTCACCCTACATACGATCAGCTGGAGGCGTTATTGAATTTCACTGTCGTCGCATGATCAGCTGATAGCTTCACCACATGTATGTGTTGCTTCATTCGGACGGGGTGGGTGACTGACGTGGTGGAAAACTCTTTATTGTTGTTAGATCGGGCACAGAGGTAAATGATGGTGCTGGGATTATTCATAGATGTGTAGTTCATCTTTTGATGTCAATGTGATTTGGCTCTGACGAAATAGATTTGATTCATAGTTTTTCGGGACGTGCGAGGCCTGCGTCGGGAATACCCATTACTTGTGCACTTCGCTTCATTAAAATAGAAATGATGCAAACCAGTTTAGTGCAGTTCTCAGTTATCAACTGATTCTATGCCTAAACTCCATGCCTCATCACGTACTCGGGTGGGGTGGTTATCAGTTTGCAGAAAGACTTCCAAACGGTACGATGTTGCGGCGCCAAAGTTTTAGCAAGCTACCTGGGGCTATTTTTTTCTCGAATAGATAGTTCTGTGGAGGGCGATTTGGACGCTCTTTTGGAATTCTGTGCTCATGAGGCTTAAACATTCAACAAATTTTATTTGAACTATATGAAGGTCAGATGAACAAATACCCTGAGAATGACTGATTAAACTTTTGCTTTCAAAAAACGTCCTGTTATCGCAGTTCTAGGCGCTAATTCATAATTCAAATATAAAAATAATCTCAACATGGCTTTACTTCTTTTCAAATGAAAAGGTTTGATGTTTCTGACCTGACTTATTTTTTACTTTTAGTTAGGAGAGATTACTAGACTTAAGCTGCTTGTGTGAGGTCACTTCTGACGCATATGTCGAAGTTGACCATATTTGGCCTGAATCACGCCCTAGGGACTAAATAATTTGACGGATGAATTTACACAGAGTGCTACCTATCCTGTGAGCAGTGCTCCATCTCTCTTGTTTTATAATATCCCGTGCGGCCAAATTGCCCCAAACTGTGCTAGTCTTTGGTACCATGTTATGTGTGACAGTTTCTTAACGTGAGCCTTTTGAATAGAAATATTTCTGGGATCTGCGCCGCTGGCGAAGCGCCCTAAAACTTCTTGGACCAGAGCTCACGCTAAGCAGTGATTGTGTGAACCCCGACCTGTACCACTCGATCGTGTAATTCCAGGTTAAGGGCCAAATTTGTTAGCGAAAGTTTTGCGCCCCGCAATGCCTGGCATGGTTCGTCCTGCCCCCTGACGGCACTTGACTTAACGCTGCTGTTGACACAAACCGTAGGCCGTGTCTGTCCAGGACAAAATGCGATCGCCTAAAGCGATTCGAATCTACCCCGTCCGATTGGTTGGAAGCAGGTGCTCTAATTGAGGTATGGGCACGGACGGACGGGGCAGTTATACCCTCAGTCCACCACTGTAATATGTGCTCCTACCATTTGGTATCAAAATGTTTAAGATTTGTTCTAAGGACATCTTAGCACTGTTTTTATGCAGTATTAGACTAGTGTTTGTAATGGCCAAAGCATGACGCAGGAATCGACCCCAGGCCTACCGCGACGAAGACTGAGTCAGTGCCAAGTAAGATAATACGCATGGGATAAGAGCTTTCCACTTCCAAAGGACCTGTTGACCCGTGATGAATTCAACTTGTCTTCCAGGTACCGGCCTCCGCGATTAAACAAGAAGGAGTTGCAAAATATCATCCTGGCTTTTGTAAAAGATCAAAATTATCAGGATGCATACAGACGCCTTTATCACTCCGAGGCAATGAGCCAGCTGCTGGTCTTCTTTAAACACCGAGTAAATCGGGATGACCTCCAGGATCACGTGAGTCTGTCTTCCATCTTGAGCAACAGCTTTGACCCGAGCGTATGTTCCCGCCGAAGTTTTCAGCACCCCGTCAAACGTGCATAGAGCCTGCGTATATTTGAGAACCCCTGTGACGCCAGAGGTTTGCGTGCTGGGCCGGCGTTGCCATTCGGCAGTCCCGATAGTTATAATTGACAGACTGCTGCCCGATTATTCATCATTTGGCGAGCGGTCAGCGCCACGTGTACACTATCTTACAGCCCGGCATATTAAGTGCTCACAGCTGACGTGCGCATCGCCAGACTGCTGTGGCACGTGTGGAGCGGGGCGATGGTGGCCGTCTGACGGGTGCCCGCCTCTGCCCAGGTGATGAAGTTTCTGGCCGTGCTAAGCGCCGAGTCCGGCGTGACCATCATGGGCTGCACGCGCTACTCGCTGGAGGACAACGCCGGGGCGCGCGTCTGCGCCACGCGCTCGTGGTGAGACGCTCGGCCGTGTGCGGCTCCAGATCGGCACGCGTGCCCCACGGCGCCGTGTGCTGCTGACGCTTTCCAACACCGAAATGGCGTAAAAGGACTACTGCAGGCGGCCCCAAAACACTAATTAACAAGATAGCATGCCAAAGAATGCCGGATGGCGCCCTGTGCACACGCGTTGGTTGACGATGTTGGTTATGATGTTCCCGCAGTTTTGCCAATTTCTGGATGGGTTATGCATTCCCCTGTCTAATCGATGATCTGTTCTAACTGGCTTGATGCTCAAGGTCCGGCTAGCCGTATGTGTACCAGGGCGACGAGCGCGCTGAGCTGGCGACAGCGAGCGCCCACACGACCCCTGGGCAGCGGGGAGCCGTGCGGTGGTGGGGAGCAGACGACGCTAGCCCCGCGTGACGCGTCGCGTCGCCGGCCGCAGGTCGCGCAACGAGGAGATCCAGTTCCTGGTGGGGTGTATCGCCGAACTCTCGGAGGAGGAGGAGAACCAGCTGCTGCAGCCGGGCAAGAACGACTTCTCGGTCATGTACAGCACGCGAAAGAAGTGCGGCCAGCTCTGGCTGGGCCCGGCCGCCTACATCAACCACGACTGTGACGCCAACTGCACGGTAACGGGCGCACGCGTCCGCGCGCCGACCGCGCTGACGTATGGAGAGGGGTGTATACAGTGCTGCGTTTGCTGCACAAACAAACTATTATGGTTAGTCATCTGTAGCCATAAACAGTTCCGTGTTAGTTGGATTGAGTGGTTTTGCAATAGTCATCAAGCGATTCCATCAGGACGAATTTGTGGTAATTCGCCCCAACGTCTACTTCTCGAATGAACTGTGAGGGTGCGCGACCAAATGTTCAGCCCTTAAAGTGGCGCGTCACCTCCCCAGAAACATAGCATTCGTACGAATCGTTTGGTGACGGGCATCGTTTATACAGCGCAGCCTAGTCGGAAGCTAGCTGGCTTAGCCGAGCCAGGCGGGCTGGCCATTCCGGCGTAGATTACCAACACAAGTACTACGGGTGCCTAAATCGACGTCTAAATGAGGTTTCAGTCGGACTTTGTTCACACATTGCATTCTTACACCGCTGCGTCCACTGCCAAACGGTCCGCTTGCTGGGCCTGCGGGGCCGCCGGCCGGCGTACGATGCTGACCGCGTGCCTCGCGTGCGGCAGTTCGTGGCCACCGGCCGGCAGACGGCAACGGTGCGCACGCTGCGCGAGATCCAGCCGGGCGAGGAGGTCACCTGCAACTACGGCGGCGACTTCTTCGGCGACAACAACTGCTACTGCGAGTGCGAGACCTGCGAGAGGTGAGCTCGCCGCGCTCTGATCACAGATCCGCGAGGGGGGGGGGGGGGGGGTAGCGCTACCAGCCGCCGCCAGCGTGTGGGACACTAATTGGCTATTGGGTATGAGACGTCTGCAAAGCAAAAGAGTGGCCTGCCAGTGTCATTAGGGTAAAGTAGTAGCATGCTCACTGACGTGGTTCAGTGCTTCCTCTAATATCGATATCGGGCAAACCAATCCACATGCTTTCCAGTGCTTACATAACGATTTTTGTTCGAACGTCGTGCATATAATCGAGTGCTGTTTGCTTTCTTAAGTGATGTAATAATGTGTAATAATTTTGGTAAGTAGCAGTAGTTCTACACTGCCTGCGGTCGGATATCCCCTCCACTGTTACTTCCCCTGTGGCGTGCCAGCCCGGGCCTGGCTGCTGAGCGTTACTCGCGCCGCCCGCAGGCGACAGCGGGGGGCGTTCTCCCAGCCGGCGGCCGCCGCGCAGCCGGAGGGCTACCGGCTGCGCCACTCGAGTCGGCGCCGCGCCGCGCCGGCCGCCGGGCCCGACCGGCTGCGCGAGACGGTGGACGCGCTCCGACAGCGCGGGATGACGCGCTACGACGCGCGCATTATCGCCGAGCAGCGGCTGCGGCTGGCGCCGGAGCCGCGCGGCCGCGCCGGGCCGGGCCGGCGGCTGGCGGCGCGCGCCGCCCGCCCGCCAACCAAGCGAAGCCCGGCCGGCGACGACGTCAGCGAGTCGGCCAGCGGCGGCAGCCCTTCCAGCGACGACAGCGCCTCCAGCGGCGAGACGCGTTGCGAGCTGCTGGGCTGGCGGCGGCGGCGGCGCGCCGGCGAGCGGCGCCGGCTCCGGCTGGACTTCGACGCCGGCGGTCGGGACGGCTGACCGGCCGCGGCCCGCTGCCGCCGCCGCCGCCCGCTACCCCGTATTCCATAGTACCAGTACAACACTGCTATACCTCGGCGGCGCGACTGCTGCGTAGGCCAGACCTGTCTCCGCTGCGCTGTGCATACCACTGCTTTTGCAGACTGTGTTCATGGTTCGCCCGTACCGGACGCGGGCACGGTGTTCATTGATTCCGCCGCGCTGGCGCCGGCGATGTCCAGCCCGTGCGCGCGCTGCCGTCCGCCGGCCTGACGGCGGCGATTTTGTACGTAACGTTCCGTTGCCAGGTGTTGCTCTGGGCGGCGCCCGACGTGGCCCGCCAGGCGGCCGAGGACCGGCGAGCAAGTCTCCTTTTGATCTCATCGTTTCGAGGGAGTGGTTGACTTGGTCGGGTGTTGGTCCCCCGCTTCGGGGCATTGTTATGTGGCTCCGATCAGGGGAGTTGTGTTCATAGTTCAACGCCATCTGATCGAAATAGATGTAGATGTTTCTAGCCGTCGTCCTCCCTCGTCGGGGTCCACGGCGATACGCGGAGTCAACACGTGGCGCGGTGTTTGTCACCGGTGCGTCAGGTTTGCAAAATGGTTCCAGAACAGCGCCACTGAATAAACGCTGGCGTGGAAAAGGCAGTGTAATAAGAGTAGATAGCGCCCTTTCCCAATGCCCACTTGATCGATGCGCTGGGATGCGGTCGCCGCGGAACTGCCCTCCGAACAAACTCATGGCGAGTGTGTCCAGACACGTCAATGGCATCGAGCGTGGCCATTAGTTGACGCCACAACAGGTCGTAAAGTTTGTTCGGGTCTTCGTGGCCTCAGGGCGCTACGGGAGCGAGTACTGCCGCGACGGAGCACCAGCTGACAGGCCGCTTCCCTTCAGCGCGCTACGCGGAGGGCCGTCTCGCGACAGCGACAAACGCCGTTAAAATTTCATTTCCTCGCCACATTCTTCTTGAACCCGTAAGAGAACCACGTGCCAGACATGTTAGCTAACGTGACAGCGTAGCATTGCACGCACTTCCCGAGCTGGGCTGTTTTCTTGAGCGTAACTGAATGTTTTATCGACAGTACTTTTGCTATCTTCATGACTGTTGACAACCGCAGACCGTTGTCCCGCCCTCACAATTGCTTGCCAATTACGGACAAACACTTATCCCAACAAAACCCACATCCGAGAACATCGCTAATGTCGCGCCAGGGGGATGCATTATCCGTAATGGAAAACTCTGTCCTCCATTGAACTGAAATTGCTGGACCGGCGGGTTGCCCATGCCGCGAACGAGCGTTTTAACCGATCAGGCAGCATGGAAAAACGGGTGCGCGCCACCCCCGTCACGTCAGATTGTTTACAACAATCTGCGAAAGTCGCCGCGAAGCTTTAGACAAAGTAGCGCTGCTTCTCCCCGCGACACCGCCGTCGCGGGGAACGCACGTCACAGCAGTCGATGAGACTGTCGTTGGACCCGCTTCCCCTGGTGGCATGGCGAGCTGGTGGTAATTGGTGCGCAGTAGTAAGTAAAACACGACGGTGAAAGCATTTCCCAAATCGGTTGAGAACTCGGCCTGCGCCCGCTGATACGAGCGTTACGCTACAATGATGCTGCTGCCACCGAACGGCAAGAAAAATCCAGCTTAAAGGCGTTTCGCCGAGTGCTCGCTCACTGCACTTGGCCGCGAAATAAAAGCAGTAACAAGTGAGCTATTAATGCTCCATTCTGCTCCATCGTGCAGTACTTTGATATTGGATGATCACCGAGAACATTACGCAATGGTGTTTTGTAACGTTACTGTAGTTCCGAGGGTATTCATGTCACTTCTTCCTAGGCATTACAAAAGCCACAATGCTTAAGGTTATTAGACTCTCGCCGGCCCACCATGTTCTGCGACTAACGAGACAATCCATTAGGTGACCATATTGAGATTAATAGCCGACCGTCAGAAATGCTGTCGGCGCTTCCACTTGCTTGTCAATCACAAGCGGGAAGTAGTCTATGGCCGCGAAAACATGAGCCTTGTCTTCATCACACCGTCCTAGGCTCCACTGTAGTAAGCATTTGCATGCATGACAATCCAGAGCACCGCGTGCCCAGCCGCAGACGGCCTAATACAGCGAGCGGCTTGTACGCGGACGTTAGCAGCGGCGGCGGCAGCCGGATTTCCACCGACTCGTTCCCAGTCCGGACACTCGCCCACCTCACCTTCCACCCGTCACAGCACGCCGCAAACGCCCGCACCCGAACAGCTGGCCTTTATTGTGTCCGTCTGCCCGGGCGAGCGCACCCAACCCCTCACTGCGGCATGGGACCCCGGCCGCGGCCGAAGCCGCCGCGGAACTCCATCTGGCCAGCGCCGGCGCCGGCCTCGCCGCGCTTGTCGGGGGCCGCCCTCGCCGGCGCGCCGGTACGCCGCCCGGTCGCCCTCCATCTTGGTGCCGTCGGGCCGCGGCGCCGCGGCGCGCGGCCGCGCCGTCTCGGCACGCGTCGGCCGCTTCAGGGTGGCAGGCACGATCTGCGGCGGGGCGGGGGGCGGGGGGAGGGCGGTCAGAGGGGGGCGAGCAGAGGGCCAAGGGGCGGGGCGACACTGCGGTCAGATGTGAGATGACTTCACAGAGTATCAGTCCACTACTTTTCAGACATCATGTGTGGTGGAGTGAGTGGGGGGGGGGGGGGGAGGAATTGGGAGCTATGGTATACCCAGCAAATGTTCAACAAAGCTGAGAGGCTTCATAACATGGTCCGAGTAACCAACAAAGCTAAAGCTTGACAGTAAAAGCAGCATACGTACAGATGTTCAGGCTTTATAGTGTGATCAGTAAGCACACATCAAAGCTGTCTGGCTTGATGGTGCAGCCAGTCATACCACCAAAAAGCCATAAAGTTCCATAACATGAAGAGTACAATTCAACAAAGCTGATAAGATTTGACAGCATGGCCCATGGTGCCTTGACAACAAAATTATGATGTCTTATCCAGGAGGGCAGTTGACAGGTGACCGACGACAAGCCAGGCATGCAAGGCAGACCCACCTCGGAGGGCAGGTGCAGGAAGTCCCGCAGGTAGGTGATGCCCTCGTTGGTCAGCGTCCAGTAGTAGTGGCGCCAGGCAAACTGCTCCGTGACGTAACCGCGCGACTTCAGGCTCTGAAGAGAACACATCAGTGCTCAGCTTCCACCATGTCAGGCACCCCAAACCCCAATGATGTCAGGAAGGGGCTGCAGGTGCCAAACACAGCAAAAGGGGCTTTATTTTGCACTCAGCTGCTTAGGCTATATGGCTACAGCAAAAGGATTTACTACCAAAAGCATCACACAGAAAGTTTCAGAATGACAAAATGAAGCCACCAGACCACATTACAAGACTAGTCTACCATCACTATGTCATCTGCCAGTGCCATCACTAAAAAGTACATGCTAGTGCAAATAATTATGCCATGCTGATTTGATCAAATACATGTAGATGAAGCATTCTGTCATGGACTAAGCAATGTGGACCAAAGCAGTGCAATAACCAAACTTGGCCAGAACTGCGGACCAAAGCAGTGGGATAACCCAACTTGGCCAGAACTGTGAACCAAAGCAGTGCAATAACCAAACTTGGCCAGAACTGTGGACCAAAGCAGTGGGATAACCAAACTTGGCCAGAGCTGTGAACCAAAGCAGTGAAATAACCAAACTTGGCCACAGCTGAAACAAAGAATTACCTGTATTCTTTGAGGTTCTCAACATACAAACACGCTCGAATTTGTGAAGTCATGTGTTACAACAGTGCTCATTTAATTTTGCAGCCCACAAAATGAAACCTTTTCTTGCCCATGCTCCCAATTATCTGCTCCAGTTTCTTCTACTTACCTGCAGGGCCTTCATCACAAACAGGTTGGGGACAGCAACATTCGGATGCTTAGGCTTGTGTGGGTTCTTCATCGCCACCATAACACCCTCCTTGAAGAGGTATTCATAGATGAGCACACGGTCCTTCTTGGGCATCAACATCCTGAAAATCAAGTGGCATGATTAATTAAAGAACAGGGACTGTTCACACATCTATGATGATTTGTCAATTGGAACCAAAGGAAAATAGGTATCACAGTTTACATATCATACTCAGGCTCAGTGCTTCTAATGGATGAAAATATCTTTGTCTCTTTTTTGTCTTTTTGACCAGTTGAAACAGTTCAAACAGGTAGAAACTGACAGTAACCCCAAGAATCAATATTGACATAAAAACATCAAACCAACACATTTCCCTTACCTAAAAATAACATGCTGGTATAACAGCACCATTTTCCTATAACATGCATTTGTCCTAACAGGTATATAAACTAGGATCTATAACAATGCCCCATGATCACTGGTCAAAACTGCATGATGAATAACTGCATCTGTAAGTATTAGCAATTTGCAAACAATGGGTAAGTATGGAAGGCACTTATCAATAATTGGCTATTGATGTATAACATCAAGTCAGTGAACTTCAGGGATCTTCAAGAACAACTCATGTCACAATTTTTGGACTATGGCAGTTGGTACCAAATCTTCACAGAAACTGCAACACAGCTGTGAGCTCACAACATGTAACTTTCAGTTTCATACATTTGACATGTAGCTTTATTTACTCATTAATCTCACCCATTGAACTCATCTACCCTACTCACTACTCATCTAATCATCCTACTCTGTACATCTGTGTCAGTGTTCCAATATTCTGCCACTAGACTGGCAAGGATGTCAATATTGTTGCGTGCTTTACACCTCAGCTTGAGGCTCACTGCCTGTTGCCTCTCCCCTTGCTCAAACTCAAAATCTGCCTATCAACATTAGACCAGGCCACTGTCAACCCAGTATCTAAGTGCCTCAGGCTTCACAAACAGGCTAGGCAGGCCAGATGCCTGCACTCAGGGGTCGAAGGGCAACAGATTAGCATCAACAATGTGTGCGGGGGCTACAGATTGTTAAGATTCCTGCAGCATGAATTCATATTTACATCCTGCACACTCTACTAGATGCATTCTGAAACTCTGTCACACCTGTTGTGTGGCTGCCACAACTGAAACAAAACTGATGCTGCAAGACACATTGCTAGGTTTCATCTGCATCCCTGCATCTCATGCTGGGCCACTCAGAATTAAAGGCATGAGGTGGATAGTAACCACATCATGACCCCTCCAAGTTTGACAGTTGCAGGTCTCCTCTGGCTAACCTAAGCCTGGCAAACACCAGGTCATGGTGGGATCAAATCTCTCCTTGTCATGTCACCTTAATGACCATGGATTCATAACAGTTTTGACTACTGGATACTTTAGTTGGCCATTCTAAGGCTTTACAAAGAGTGTAACTTGAATTGGTTATCATGTATTTGTACTGCATTTTTCTCTCCAGCTAACCTAGC